TTTTTACTAAGAGATCTTTGCTTTAAATTCACTGGGATGGCACCAGTGAGAATTAACTGAAAAGGTCTCTTAAGTAAGACTGCACCCTCCATGCCTTTGCAAATGCAGTGTACCCTTGAGCAGGCCACCAGCCAAGATCTCATGAGTCAAAGTGTGGCAGCTGTGCTGATACCAGCTGAAGGACAACTGATTGGACATGTGAAAGTGTGTCTATTCCCCAGCATGCATCAGGCCACCATCTTCTACTTTGCTCCTGTCTTTGATTTCCTGCTTCTCATCCACTCACACTCACTCATACACACACTAACATACACACACCCTTGTCTCTTCTCACAATAAATCAAGTGGGCACAGGCAGGCCTCCCAGAGGACAGGCCTGTAAGTGCAACACAAAGTCAGCACGTCCCCATCCAAGCCTCCATCCTATGTTATACATGCGACAAAGTTTGGCAACAGTGGAGCAGATGTGATGACACAGCTAATCAATAAGAACCCACTGCACAGAACCTTTATAGTGGTTACTTTTTTAAGGGCTCAAGTGAAGAAATGGTCTTTGTCAACTTTGGCTGAGAATATCCTTATATAGTTCAGGTACTTTGTCAGGGTCCACTGGTCTTGGTAAAAAATGTGTGAATTTCTGGTGCCGTTTAGTCCTCGTTCCTTCTCTTGGGGTCCCATCTTTATTTAATGCAACATAGTATCGCCTTCCAGTGTCCACATGTTTATAGAGATTCGAAGAGTACGTATTATACCAGTTTTCTTCAAACTGTTCTCTGAATACACACTCTTGGGTTAGTTTTTCCTGTTTAAAAAGAAAAGGAAGCAAATGAGTATTTTTGCTAAATTAGCTACTTTCTGTATTTAAAACAATTTTCATTTGCTACACACTATTAAGTCTGGCAAGAAAATGGTGATTTTAACCCACTAAACCATTTTAACACATTTTGCCAAAACTGCTTTACTATATAAATTTAACACATTCTCATTTCTTATTCAGAATGATTAAAGCGCAAAAGATTCAAAGTATTTTCTCATTAGACTTTTATGTCTACCAATTATTAGAATGAGTCAAACAGGCAAAGGACAACTAACAAGATAAGTTGTTCTCATTTTTACTACAGCAATGAGGGTGATGACCATCCCAGCAGAAGCCAAAGGTTCAGATAACTGCTTCATCTTTTCTATATTTTTCATAAAGTACTTGCTACATAGGCCAACATGAGCAACATCACCAATGATGTCAGTCGTTGTCTAACCTTTGAACAGTGGTGTTTGCTTCTCCCTCCATAAATGTGGTTTTCAAACCTCAGTGTACACAAGAATCACCTCAGATGCTTTTTAAAAATGCAGATTTCCAACCCCAATCCTTTAAAATTCTGATCCAGAAAGTCTGAAAATACGCATTTGTAACAGGCCCTTGGGGGAATTCTGATGCAGACACTCCTCGATCTACATTTTAAGATATAATGCTGTTGGTCATGACTAAAGTAAAAACAAATATTCTAGCCCTCCTATTTCCCTGAGCTTCGATGGAAGAAGAACCTTTCCCCCCAACTTAAAAAGCCACATTCTCAGGCATGCAGCTACCAAGAGAAAAGCTGTACTACTTCCCACATTTATCAAGCAAAAAGGTCCCACCACCCCAAAAATCTGCAGCTGCCTGTTGTGGACTGGAGTCGTGACCAGAAACAACATGCACATTAAATCCCAGAACTGTGAACAATGCTCCAAGCACAACCTCAAACTGCTCACCTGACACCTGGAGAAAGGAGGCAACAGACTGAATGGCCTCTCTGCTCTTCTCACTCAACTGAAACTTTTAAAATCAATCCCTTCCTAGATGGTACTTTTTAAAAATAAACACAAAAATGTCTTTTTAAAATCTCCTCCTTGCTCTTGCCCACCTGGCACCTTACATAAATAAGAAAACAAATAAATATATGCACACACACACACAGTTAAAACAGCATAACAGATCAGGACATTTGACGTGTTTCCAATTCTGTCATTCAGACCCAGAAGACAGACAGCAAACTATACATCACCAAAATACAGACGTCCTTTTCACATGCACACACCTGACAACACAACTTAGGACACTGAGTTCATAAGATATCAGGTGGGCAGAATCCATTCTCTCTGACTGCTGTGGAGTAAATCAGGAGAGTGAAGGAGGGGAGAAAGGGAGGGAGGCTCACAAAATCAGCAGTCTAACAAAGGCCACCTTCTTGCCTTCTCTTCTTTAATTAATTGAAGGCTTAAAACCCACTCAAAAGCACACAAGGGCCTGCATTTCCTGACAGGTGCTCTTCCAGGTGACCAGGAAGCATTGAGCAGGTCTGTAACTAAATGTTAACTTACTGGACAAGTTTTTGCTAAGTGAATGGAAACAGGGGAAAACAGAAATTAAAAACAATGCATCTGGCAAGGACAGAGGGATGGGAAAACTGAACTGCTGATGCTGGTGTATGGGGGACAAATGAGTGGCAGGGAGTGAGAAGTGATCCATATTCCCCTCTGCAAAACCATGCCCATTTGGGGTGCCAGCAGGAAAGGGCCCTGTGCCTCCTCTACATGTAAACTACAGGCACATTCTTCTGAGAGGCACCCACCTGCACCCTCTGCACTGGGTAGATGAGGCTAAATCTCTATTAAAACTGGCAAAATAAAAATTGTGTATTAAAGACACTAACAGTTATTTCAATCTTTCCTTCCAACTGTATAATAAATATTGTCCTCACAGACAAGATTATTCATGGCTAAAATGTCTGGTTTGGGTTTGCTGTGATTAAATTAAATTTTCTAAACAAAATTTGTTCACTTTTTCTTAACTTCATAAAATGGACCAAACTATGGGATTATATAATGAGCCTTTAGTTCTACAAAGGATGTGAAAAGCTAACTGAAATTAAGCTTTCCTCTTCTCAGCAGGAAATCACATAACTTGACAGACTCTTCCTCCTCTTTCTGAAACATGAGTTGTACACTAGCTTGTACACACATCACACCTAGTTGTCTTGGGTGAAGAACACACACAAGTAACCTCAGTGGGAGACAGCTGGCATGCACAATGGCTCTGGAGTCTGAGGCCCATGTGAACCCTGGCTTTGCCCCTTACTGGCCGTGGGCATTTATAACTGCTTATTAACCTCCCAAATTTCAGGAGCCCCACCCTTAAAGCAGGTGAGGAATAAGAATCTCGAGAGACGACTGTCACAAATATGCACGCAGAGAGCATTGCCTAGCACACAGAAAACCCTGCACAGACAGTGGTTAAGTTAACACCATAGTCTCTCAGATCTGGAACAGGCCTTAGAAGACAGCTGGTGCAACTTTTCCTGTCAAATATGCGTAAAGTGATCTGCCCCCATCTATGCAGCAGGATCTTGTAACAGTAATGAAGCCGCTAGAAGTCTTCAGGGTCCCTACTGGAAATGCAGGCCCTTCTGTTTTCCACTTGTCACTAAGCAGTGTGATGCCTCCAGACCCCCAAGTCAATCTGTCTTGGAAGCTTTCTGATACTGCTCCCCAAGGGCCAGGCACTGGAGACTGTGCAGGAGACAGGCTGGGGTAAAGCCACTCTTACCTAAGACTCAGACATGCTTCCTTCCTTCTCTACCTCAAAAATGTAACTTTTTAAAAACACCATTTTAAAGGAGGAATGGGAACAGATGAAAAAAAGAGATTATGAACAAAATTCTACAGATAGATATATCACAGTCTAACAATGAAACACATTTATTTTCCATATTTAAGAAAAGATTCTTATTTTACACTAGTGGCCCAGTGCACAAAATTCATGTATGGGAGGGGGGTCCTCAGCCCGGTTTGCACCCTCTCCAATCTGGGACCCCTCAGGGGAAGTCCGACTGCCAGTTTAGGCCCGATCCCGCAGTCGGATATCCCTCTCGCAATCCGGGACCTCGGGCTCCTAACCGTTCACCTGCCTGCCTGCCTGATCACTCCCAACTGCCCCCCCTTCCAGCCTGATCAACCCCAACTTCCCCCCCTGCCGGCCTGGTTGTCCCACCTTCCAGCCTAATTGCCCCGATCGCCCCTAACCGCCTCTGCCTTTCCCCACCACCATGGCTTTGTCCAGAAGGATGTCCGGAAGGTCTCCTGGTCTAATTAGCATATTACTCTTTTATTAGTATAGATGTTTTGGGTTTTGGTGTTTTGGTTGTTGTTGTTTTGTTAAAGTTTTAGTTTAAAAAAAAACTTTAAAAAGTTGAATAAGCTAACAAATTGAATGTGCCTTTTCACTGCTCAGTGAACACTAGTATTTCCCCTTGCAGGCTATTTTAGCATCATTTATACACACATAATATAACTATCTAGCAACCCAGGTAATATTTCATTTAAAGCAGTATAATCTAAGGCCAGCATTTGTTGTGATGGTTAAGAGTTCAGTTGTCTCATACATGGGAGGGCTGTAACTTCCCTTAACAACTTAAATGTGGTTGTGCAGACATTACATTGCAAAACCACTGGGACCTTTCAGCTCTTGCAATTATTACAGTTGGTATAATGCCACTCAGATAAGCTTATTTTCAATGATCATTTAAAATTAAAGACACTTTAACTTTTCTGTACCATGTATGTGCTTTTAAATAATTTCTTCCTCTTATTGGGGACTATGTTAATATGTGATTTTTTTTACACAGACCTATAAAAGTAACAAGATTTACAGAATTAATCTCTTTATCCTCACATTTCAGTACTTAGCAATAAAATATTTGAAGTGAATATATTTATGTTATGGATTTGTACTCCAAAATGACTTTTCTAAGTTAAAAATAAGCAAATGAATGCAAATTGGGACAGCGACAAATTTATTAACCTGCATTCTTATAAATATATGCAAAGGAGAAAAAAGTTTCTGCCTTCAAATAAACTATACACTTTAGAATTATAGAAGTCAGATGTTTGAAAGCCACCACATGGTCCCAATATAGACAATTTATATAGTATTCCACTATCAAGTGATCAATTCTTATTTTATTGTACTTCCATGTTTTAATTATTTAACTATAGCTGTTTATGGCATAACTATCTTTGAAATGTTGGATTGTATCACTAGGCTTGGGTGAAGAATGTGGATTTAATTCAAGATTCTTCTAAAACCCATACTTTGGCCCTACCCAGTTTTGCTCAGTGGGTAGAGCATCAGCCTGCAGACTGAAGGGTACTGGGTTCGATCCCAGTCTGATATCTTGGTTGCAGGCTCCTCCCTGGCCCGGACCCTGGTCAAGGCATGTGCAGGAGGCAACCAATTAATGTGTTTCTCTCACATCAATGTTTCTCTCTGTCTATCCTCTCTCATCCACTCTCCCTAAAATCAATGGAAAAAATATCCTCAGGTGAGGATTAAATAAATAAATAAAAACCCAGCTTTTGGAACAAAATCCAGTGAATGTTAGCAACTATGGAAACCTCTTTTCATTTTATATCACCAAACTCTAAGCAGTGGGGGAAAACCAAAATTAAAATTTCAAAACTTTTACCAATCTTATTAAAAACAAAGTATGAGATAATAATGTGAAAATTATAGTACACCTCAGATAATGTTTAGAGACATAATAAGACATAAACTCATACACACCATCATTTAAAATATTAGACAATTGAAAATGTAGAATCAACACGGGCTTTACTATGTCCAATTCATATCTATAGCCATTTTTTAAAAAAATCAGAATTTTTCAAAATTCAAAACTCATTTGTTTTCTTTTAAAATGAATAACTTTATCATGCTGCTATTTTAAAATGTGGTTTCCATGTTTACATAAACATGTAAATAAA